TGTGTTACGTATATACATATGTAACAAACACTGAATACTGTATATAATATATACGCAAATATATTAATTGATGCGTATATACGATAAATGTTTTATCCCTCTTACATATTGTGATCGTTATATAAATTAATAAAATATATATTACACCGATTTTTGTGTGTGAGAAAGAAAAAGAAAGAAAGAGAGAGAGAGAGAGAGAGAGAGAGAGAGAGAGAGAGAGACACACACACATGGATTACAAGAGACAAAAAATTACAAACGCCACTAAAAGCATGTCTATAGACAGTGTATGGGAATTTTTTTTTTTTTTAAGGTGTGTAAGAAAAGGGGAACTAGGATATTATACTACGTCATTGGTAATAATACTTTTCGCAGCTGTGCACATTAGATGGGTAATTTGTTGTTAGGGGTCAAAGAGTAAAAGAAAAAAATTAAATATAATTAATAATTATAAAGAAACAGAAAGAGAAATAGAAAGAGAGAGAGAGAGAAGAAAGACGAAATAAAAATATATATAATCTCTCGTTGTTAATTTATTACGTGTTTATGTATGTCTGAATGTATGTGTACGTGAATGTGTATATTTCATCTAACAGTAATTTGTAATTTATCGTTATTCATTATCCTCTTTTTGCTAAAAATACAATGATTAACAAAAAGATAAATAGACAGAGAGAGAGAGAGAAAGAAATGAAAGAAGAGTGAAGAGATAAAAGTAAAAAAAAAAAAAAAACGTATAACATTGGTGCAATTTCGATGCAGTATAAAAGGGGTGGGCCGGGGGCTGTGGGGCCGGGTGAACGAATCATTTAAACCGTTTTTCCGAATATATATTTTCTATTTAATCAATTCGCGAATGAAAAGTAAATAGAAATAAATCAAAACATTTTCGTTTCAGCATAAATAATAATACTTATACATATGTAATGTTACACGCACAAGTGGCAATACGCATGGATCTACTGAACACGATGCAGGAAAAAATGTGCGAAAATGAGGGAGGCGGGGGGTCGGGCGGGGGAAAGAAAAAATATATGTACGTGGGGGGAGTGGGGGGGCGGTCATCACATGGCGATATAAAAATTCTAATTTATATTTCGATGATATGGAAATGATATTTATATATATATATATATATAAATGTGCCCATAATTATGAATGTGATTTAAGTCATAATATATCTATTATTTAATGGATTACATTTTTGAACATTAAAAATATAATAATATAAGTTATTTCAATATTATAATAAATATATAATATATTGAAATCGTGAAAATTACATATTGAATTAATTTAATTGAAAATAAAATGTGTTGTGTGAAATAATTAATAAATTCATTTTTTTTTTTATTTTTTTAATTTTCACTTCAGACCACTTTCATAATTATAGGCACAAATATATTTATATATATATATAATAAATTCGCGAATGTTGAATTTGATTAAAAAGTATTCAGTAAATTAATCAATCGATGTGCACAGCCAAGCAGAAAGGGTGAATAGTTATGTTAATGATAAAAGATATAGAGAGAAAGAGAGAGAAAGAAAGAGAAAGAGAGAAAGAGAAAAAGGGAGAAGATTTGCTGCAAGGCGTGTGTGTGTGTGATGCGTGCGTGCGTGCGTTGGTATGCGTGTACGTGTACATGACTGACATGAACGAGTGAATAATGAACAAATGCACGTGTATCGAAACGAAAGGATGGGTGTTCAAAGGAAGGGAATAAATTAAATAATCCAAATGAGTACAACATATAACTGTATAAATGATTATGCAGCACGAATGAAATGCATGAAATATATAATGATATTCTCAATAAAGCAAAGATAATATTATTAATATTATATTCATAAAAATATGAAACGGAATAAATGTGAGGATAGAAATATGAGTGAAAAACGGACGGGGGTGGTGGTGGTGGTGGTGGAGGGTGGAGAGTGGAAGGGGTGAAAGATTAATGAGAAGAAAGAGAAAAAGATATGGTGAAATAATGTGATATGAGAGATAGAGATAGAGATAGAAATAGAGATAGAGATAGAGATAGATAGAGAAGCGATGATATGTTGGCATGTACCTGGGAGGTAGGGAGACCATGGCTGTGTTCCAAAACTACAGTAGCCTCTATTGCCTCCCCGTTATAAAATTCCTCTTGATTTCAGTATTAATCGTCATTATTTCTCACATTGAGATAATAATATCGCATATATATATATATTTCAGTTCATATATATTGTCTCTGTTTTTTTTTTTTGTCTGTTTTTTTTTTT